TTATTATATCTTCTTTAAATTCTTAATTCTATAGTTGTTTTGAAAATAAGGCATAGCATGGAACAAAAAATCATATACAGTATGTGTTTATTCATTTAACAAAAACTGTAACAGCAACGTTAGTCGTTTTGCCTACGGACGCTACCATACACAATAAAAATAGCACAAAGTAATACACTCGACATTGGTTTTGTTCCGATCTCAGGCTCTTTTGAGTAGTTATCTGTACGTGTATTGATTCCTGACAAGCCCACCCTCACTCGGACAGCTATCTCCCTATTTTTCCAAACCTCATTAAGGCATGCCGTTTACCTAAATGGATACTCTTTGTATTTCGATCTTATCCTCCCTTCACTCTCTCTCATCACGTGCGACAAGTATCCCATCCTGTTTCAAACATCTTTTGCTGTCTTTCTCTGTTCCTTAGTTAAGTAAAATGCTTTCTCGGTTGACGCTATAGTCTTATGTTCTTTTAAATCCCTTTCAAACACCGTGTCAGCCATTCCGTTATCTTTTACCTCCCACCTTGGCCACCAGGTGGTAGCTCATTTGGAAGGTGAGAAAGAGATCTAATTTAGTGTTCCTCCTAGTCGAAAAGCCAAACCTACACACGTGCATCTACAACAAAGCCTTTTCACAAGAGTTCTGAGATAAGATATACGAAAAGTTGGAACAAGACGTTTCAGTTGAAGCACTCCTTTGTAGTAAAAGAAACGTTGCGAAGAAAGGAAGTAATATAAAAGGAAGTTATCAACTAACAGAAAATACGTTTGGCATTGCAATTATCGGATAGAGGAAAAAAAACATCACGTTACTTTGAACATACAGGTCCATAGAGTCCCAACAGCCTCAAGGTGTTACAGGTTAAAAGTAATGCTTTGTTTGTTAAAACATCTCGAGGATAGGGTAATAAAGAATAATAGTAACTGATCCCCAAACGTAGAGCAATTCTTGCTTTATGAAAATATAAGAAAATAATAATAAAAAAAACACTAATTATTTGCTGATAATAAGTATATGAACTCACTGCAAACAAAAATACAAGATCCTTAATAGTGGAGCCGAGCGTAGCTTATAGAGGTTAGAGATTCTGGATGCACATTGTAGGATCCAAGGTGCGAGACACTATGCTACTGAATATGCTAGACGCTTTCAGCATGGGTGCGTTACAAAAGTGACAGCCAATCCCGCTTTTCGGTTCCAAGAGCCACGCAAAGCCTATGTGGTGGTGGGTGCTGCCGAGTAACTGCCTTCTCTCTGGTCAGTTGTTCAAAATTAAGGTCCGCTATACCTGAACTCTAAGGGATCACTGACCTGGCTACTTTGTTCTCGTGTACATAATGTACCGTTCAAGTTTACAATTCTTTCAATAATTCAACAGTCATAATATTTTGCGAAATGACAACAATTATCTGGATTTCAGGGTATTAACAAGGATAGTTGCCATTAAAGAAACATTGCGAGTCAACCACATAGGGGAGTATAGTTTGGCTTTCTACCACAGGAAAATAAAAGATATATATGTGGTATCAACTAGTGCACCTATCATCATTTGTTATGCTATAAGTATAAAGTAAAGGTAACGTTATATTCTTTAATATCTGCATACATATGTAATAAAATAATTATTATTTACATTTTTAACAAACTTTATATGAAACCAGAATTATTATAAATCTAAGTAATTTTATTAAGACTAATAAAGAAACTTAAGAAATATATGCAAACAAACAAAACACAAGTATATAATTATGGCTGGAGACGGCTTAAATGG